AAGAACACACAGAAGGGAGGAATATGGCTTAGGGTTTCTATTGCTGTGACAAAATATCATGTCCAAAAAGCAAGTTGGAGAGGGAAGAGTTTACTGGCTAGCTTCCCCTAGCTTACTGAGCCTGCCTTATAGAATCCACAACCACCCAGGATCAGCACCACCAACCATGGGCTGGGCTGGGCCTTCCTCCACGGATCACTAATTGAGAAAATGCCTTACAACAGAATCTCATGGAAGCATTTCCTCACCCGAGGCTCCTTCCTCTCTAATAACTCTAACTTGGGGCAAGTTGACACACAAAACCAGCCAGTACAGGTATTGACCTGCAATATCAGCCTGAGGTCAGAAGGTCAGCAAGTTTAAAACAAGCTTGGATAATTTAGCAAGATCCTATTTGAAAATAATTTTTTACAGGGCTAGAAAGAGTTGCAGCTCAGTCAGTACCCAGTACCATGAGAAGAGGGCAGGGGAACAGCATATATGTGTAATGCAGAAAATCTGAGTCAAAATGAATATCTACCTTTATAGTCCCCTCAGCCTTTAAACCTTCCTCTTGAGAAGGTCCAAATCCAAGCCCACTTTATAGATATTTTGGGGTTTTCACAGGACATCTGAGCCGGCACACGGAGTGCTACAGTCCCAGCTCTTTCCTGGACACATTTCATCTTCAACCTGAAACCAGAGAACAAAAGAAAGTAAACACCGAGGCGAGGAGGCACAGCGGCGATACGGACGCCAAGTTCTGTTTCCTACTCACTATCCGCTGACCGGCAGAAGAAACGTCGGATTACTGGGGACAGAACCCACTGGGCGTGTATCTGACCAGCAGTGCAGCTCATCACTGCTCAGATGAGTGGACAGTGCTGAATGCTGCGGCCCGAGACAGCAGGAAGAAGTAACTGGAACTCAGAGTGCAAGAGGCAGCAAAACTCCCCACGCTGTGAACTTGCTATTTCCCTTTCATTGCAGTTCTCCCCCCTGAGGGCCTATAATCTACTTCCTATAGGTTATCTCATTTTCTAAATACAATCTTCTGTGTTTAAAAAATATATATATGCAAGCAAGGTTTAGAGAAATGGCAAGGTAAGCTTGACGGTTAAGGAAATAAACTGTCATTATTTTTCCCCAACTTTACTAAGACATAATGAACAAATACAAACTGCAGTCTAATGAGTAGTGTGTTGATAAGAGGCCTCCGTTACTCCTTTGTGTGGAGAAATGTGTTGAGCACACTTAATATCTACTGTTAACAATATTCGAGTACAGACATGCTGAACTTCCTCTCCCACTGTTCCTAAGTTCAACTTTTTAGGTTCTACACTTATAATCAAGAATTGCCTTTCAGTGTGCGGCTCATTTCACACAGCAAAACATCCCCCCGCCCCGTTCCTGTTTCAAGGCTGAGTCGTATTCCAGTGTATACACCACCTCAACCTGCACATTAAAATAGTATAAGTTTCTATTTTAGCCATTGTGAATGATGCTTCAACGAACATGGGAATAGTTTTCTATGTCTGTACATTCCATAATTGAATGTATTTTTGCTGTGGTGGTTTTTTTCTTTAGATATTGGTACCCAGGAGCCCATACTAGCTTTGAACTCACTGGGGAGCCAATAGTGATCTTAAACTTTGTTATAGAATTTTTTTGTTTGTTTTTAAGACAAGTCTAGCTTCTTGGGCCATAACTGGCCTCAGAGACCTAGAGTGCTGTGATTAAAGAGCGCCACCACCACACCATGCAAACCCTGAACTTCTCGATTCACATCTACACTGCAAGAATCAGACAGCATGCTACTTTGCCTGCATGTATGTATGTATGCATGTGCACATGTGTATTCCTGATCCCCGCAGAGTTCAGAAGGGGATACTGGATCCCCTGCAACTGGAGTTACTGATGGATGTGGAGACAAACCCAAGCTAGGCAAGTATTCTAGAAGCTGAACTACATCCCCTGCCCAGATAATGAGTTCTGAAGGCAGAGACTACATTTTAATCATTATTTGCTGTATCCTTAAACAGAAAGCTATTAAGACAAAGCAAGCTCACACTAAGAATTTCTTTGACAATCAACGAGGTAATAAATATACTCTACACTGCAGCTGGCATGGAGTTAAATGATGTTATTTCTATCACTTGTGAGAGATCAGTCAACCCACTAATAATGAATAGCTATCATGAAAAAGATTCGGAAAGGTCATTCATAAAGGCCCTCTAGCTCCAAGATGTTGCCTTTTAGGATTAAATGACCCAAATTTGCTTTTCCATTTCTGTTATTCCCTACTTAACACATTCCCCTGTGTTGGGATGACAGGCACATGCAGCCATGTCTGGCTTTTGTGGATTTGAACTTATGCTTGGTCCTCCTGCATGCAAAGTAAATGCTCTTACCCTCTAAACCCTTTCTAATTCCTGATGTCCTCTTCTCTACTCTTTGAGATAGGGTCTCACGATTTAAGCCCTGGCTGTCCTGAAAAAATGCCCTAAATCTTTCTTATGTGGTTACAGTCTAAAAGTGTTTCAACTTTTCCCACCTTAATACGAAAATATGTTTCAACATAACACAATCAGTTCTCCAATAAACTCTGAAAACTATGCCCCTTCTGCCCCTGCAAATATACAAGAAGCACATGGTTGTTCTCAGTCTGCCGACCCTTTCCAACATTACATGTGCTCACAAGATAACCCATCACCACCACCCCACCTGAACTCAAGGCAACAAAGACAGTCATAAAGTTTGTCAGCATGGTCTTTACCTATGGTAGAAAATTCATTACTGTTAACCAGGACTGCCTCCAAGTCATCACTGTGCACAAAGTGAATAAAACAATAGGAAGCACTATAACATCCACATCTAGATATTACACACACACACACACACACACACACATCTTTTTAAAAATATTTGTGTATTCGTGTTTTGCCTGCATGCATGTATGCATGTGCATGTGTGTTCCTGGTCCCCGCAGTGTTCAGAAGGGGACACTGGATCCCCTGGAACTGGAGTTACTGATGGGTGGTTTTACAACACCACACAAGAGCTGGGCACTGAATGCAGATCCTCTTCCAGCACATGCTCTTAGCTGCTGAGCCATCTCTCTAGGCCTCAGATATCTAGAATCCTATTAAATAATATACCAAAGCCCAACTCCATGCCACACATGCCAACTGGGTTATTCATAGTCAATCATTTGGGGGGAAATATTAAGATCACAAGCTATCTAAGTAACTACCCATAAAAGCTATTAAATTGTGGCATGAACATATATTAGAATGTGACAAGACACGTGGATGTTCTTTACCAATATGGAGAAAAGCACGGGGCATAGCTATGTACAGAAAGGAGAAGTGAGTACACACTTTACTGTGTGTGCACCCAACACCCTAAGATACACAAGTTCTAGGGAGAGATAAGAAACCTCACTGTGCACTCTGAACCTATTCGGTTCCCAGCACTCACATGGTTGGTGTCTCAAAACTATCTGTCACTACAGTTCCAGGAAATCCAATGTCCTCTGGACTCCGCAGGCAGCAGACACACATACACATAGATGCATGATGCATGTAATTATGGACTTAACGACAAATGAGGTCAAGTGTAAGGACATCAGAGTCACCAATGCCCATTAATGCATGAGCTCGGTTAGGATTTCTCTTTCTCACATTTTCCACCTATAACAGTAACCCATGGGCCAGGTGTGATTGATGCCACACACCTCTGACCACAGCACTCATAGTGGATCTCTGTGGGTTGAGGTCGCCCTGGTCTACATAGCAAGTTCCAGGACAGCAAGAGCTACGTGAAACCCCGTCTCAAAACTTTAAATCAATTAAGCAGGGCTACAGAGATGGAGCAGCAGTGAAGAACGCTTACCACTCTTGCAGAGGACCTGAGTTCAATTCCCAGCACCCAGGCTGGGTAGCTCACTGCTGTGGGTAACTCCAGCTCCAGGGACAAAACCCCTCTTCTGGCTCGGAGGACATCTGCATACTGTCTGCATATACCTCCCCCCTACACACACACACACACACACACACACACACACACACATACATAATTAAAAATAAATTCTTAAGCCAGGCAGGCCATAGTAGCGCATGCCTTTAATCCCAGCACTGGGAAGGCAAGAGGCAGGAGGATCTTTGTGAGTTTGAGGTCAGCCTGGTCTACACAGTGAGTTCCAGGACAGCCAGAGCTACACAGAGCTAAGCCTTGTCTAGAAAAACTAAAAAAATAAAAATAAAAATAAAAATAAATCCTTAAAAAAAAAATAACCAATTTTATATTCAAGACTAGTAGCAAAACAAACTGCGAGTCTGGCGAGATCACACTCGAGGTCATTAGAAAAACCAAACAAGAAAAAAAGAAAAAAGACAAGATTTTTCATAAGAAAAAATACCCACGATATGTATTGTAAATTCACATCTTAACCTTTACAAGGTAGTTGCGATTTACTATACACCAACTAAGGGCTAGACTGCATATTTTTGTTCGATCTTCAAAAAGCATGCCCAGAATGGCTCACACTATCCCCCGATATCACCAGAGCAGTATCAGAACAGACCGCGGCGCTACAATTCGAATATTGGCTTGCACTAAGCTGAGACCTCTGATCCTTCTCAATGTGTCTTACGCTCTTTACATGGTGAGCCTTCATAGGGCTAATTAAGTTACCTGTCCTCGGAGTTTGCTATCTAGTCTCATACATGCTGTCGGCAAATATTACAGCAAACACTTCAAAAAGGTTTCTCAAATCCGCCACGGCCGTGGCCCCCAGACATTCACCAGAAAACTAAAACACGGGCTGAACTCATTCTCCTGGGATCGCTCGAGCCCATTAGCAGAACAGCGCCGGGTCCATAACGGTGCCTAAGAAGTAAAAACGAAGCCGAGGATTTCTCGAGAATCAGGCCCTCTGTGCATGCGGCAGAATCTGCTGTTTCTGGCTCACCAGGTCTCGGGAACAGCCGGCAAAGCCAGGACTGCCAAAGCCCACGTGGAGACAAGCCAGGTAGTAGTCCACCTCGCTGCCGGCACCTAACTTCCCAAAACAGAAATAAATCTCCTCTGAACTCACAGACTTCGGCGCCGGCCTGAAAGAAATGCCTGGCCCCTGGGTAGACCGCTCAGAAGAAAGAGAAATTGAAAACCAGAGACCCACATTGCTTGCGCACTCACCAGCCCACCCGAAGCGAGAGGCAGAGAAAGTTCAAGGAGGGAAAGCGACCTAAGTACTGTGCCTCCGAGTCTGATTGGCTGAGTTCAAGGAGCCTCCCCCCCTCCCCGACCTTAGAAGGTGCTGCGGGGCTGCAACTCAACTCTGTTTTGAGATTGCACTCCTACACCAAATTTCTTTCTTGGTGAGAGCACCAAACACAAGCAAACACGGGATAAATGAAGGGATTTGGGCATGTCCTTCCTTGTTCACATGGGTCTATTCCCTTCTAATCCAATTTCCATCCTGAGTTAACCTGTCCTTTGCCACCTCAACACGGTTAACTTAGGCACGGTAATAGGACCAATTATAAGCAGTTTATAACCATCCAAGTTAGAAGTTGCATTCACGTTGATCTTCAAGCTAACAAACTATGATTAACATTTATTAACGGGTGGTTTAGTGTTTCTCCTTGAAAGTAAAATTGGAATACTTGTCCACATCT